TGAAAACCATCCCTACCCCCAAAAATGTGGATTATGACAACAATGTGAACATCAGATCTCCGGCAAAATGTTACAGCTGAACAAATACCTGCAACCCTGTTTCCCCCACTGCATGCATGATGTTGGCTATTAATATTCTTTTCAATGAACTCTCACCTGTCACCTGACCATTTTAGGCCACAAAATGTTTGGGGAACAAATGTTAAAGTTGTTGGTGTTCACTAGAGGGAGACATTTTTCTCACCTGCCCTTCCAACATGGCGGCATTGATGGGTGCGCGCCAACCGGGCCGTAACCAGCTCACCGGCCCCTTTGCTATACATCTGAATGTAGAAAGACGGTTTGTAAGGCGATTCCTGCAGGAACAGACCATCTCCCATCCCCCCCCCCCCCCCCCCCCCCGATCTTCAACAATGTCTTGGCTGCTTTTTAAATCAAAGTGTCAGATTCTCATTTCACGTCATTGTCAGGGAAAAGCTTGCATTAGGGTCAGGGACTGCAGTGTCCATTGATCTCTCTGTGCTTGTAGGAGGTGACCTGGTCTTTGTGGAACATGATGTCAGCATTACCCGTCTCCCCATCCCTGGATGATGTTATAGGGCGAGGGAAGAGCGCTGGAGCCCTCTGCTGGTTGATTTGGTTAATAACGATATTGCAGCAGCCAGCTCTGGTGTATGTGGAGATGCCGGGTCAGTCAGTTTACCTGACCTGCAATGCTCTCCAGGAGAAGGATATGTCTCGGCTGGTCCTCCGGCTATGGGGGGTCCTTGATAATTAACCTAATCAGGGATTGAAACATTTCAGGGTATCTCACCAGTCAGTCAAAAATGTCACCAGTCAGCATGACCGGACTGTAGCCTTGCAATTTATGTTAACATATTTTTAGAGACACATAAAGCTTTCTGTGTCCCTAAAAAAAATGTTAACATAAATTGAGATCTGCTTCACCAGCTTCTGAAGCTGGAGAGTGACAGCTGAATGCGAAAGTGATGTAATGTACATCACTTCCTGCATTCGGGGACTGGAGAGGAGATCGGAGGGAGTTTGTGTACCGATTTCCCTTTGATCTCCTGTCACAGAGCAGCCGTGCCGGTTCCAGCCGCACCGGCACAGCGGATCTCGGGAACGGCAACGGCAGTGGCAGCTGCTGCTAATACAAGCGATCGGGCGCCTCTAGAGACGCCTGATCGCTTGAATGTAAAGCTGCCGGCCGTGTAATTACAACAGCCAGCCGGGAATCTACTCGTCCGGCTCCGGCGTCCTCTCATCAAAGTCGAGAGGATGAGCAGATTTTTCAAGCCCTGCTAATAAGCCTAACTTAGAAATTGTATTAATAGGTGGGAGGTGCCCTGATAGGAGTTCCTGCCATTTTGCCCTCAACAGGTAACCCCTAAAGTAACCCTGTAGATGTTCTAGTTGCCTCTATTGTGTTTGATACCAAGTTCAATGTAAAGGGATTCTGTCAGGATGGCAATGCGATGCTGCTATTCCATACTTTTTGTTGAGGATGCAAGCTCTGGTATAACGCCATCGTAGAGACACATCGGTGTGATCACGGTCCTTCCTACAATGCTAGATCTGGATCTGCTGACAAAAGTGAAATGTATGAAAAGATTTGGTGGGCCCACTGGCGGAACTACCAGGGTCGCAGAAGTTGCATGTGCGACCGGGCCCTGGCGTTCTGCGGAAAGAAAGGAGAGGGTCTGCCCGGCCCCGGTAACCATCAAGGGATTCCTATGGCATGTTAGATTCCCCACTTCACCGGAGAACACAGCTGCTGATGTCAGTGGAGGATGTGGCACTGACGTGCTGAGGGGAGGAGCCTGGGCTGTGTAAGGGTGTGATGTCACGGTTGAGGAGAGCGGTAGGCAAACGTTGAGAGGTGGTGTTGGTGTGAAGGAAGGTGCCTCCTTGTGTATGGCAAATTAATCTTTTGCAGCCCAACACTGCTCAGCTGATTTAAGTTATACCAGCTAAGCAGTGTTGGGCTGCAAAAGATGAATTTGCCACACACAAGGAGGCACCTTGCACACTGGTGGAACTACCAGGGTCGCATGTACGACCGCGCCCTGGGAAACCGCCACTTGGGGGAGGCCCCGGAACGTAAGCAGTTCTAGTAACCGCCGAGGCTGGTGGTGGTGGAGACCCTTCGTGGTTACTTGCTCCGGGGCCCTGAAGTTTTTAGTTACGCCTCTGGATGGGCCCCTAGAAGTTGCTTGTTCGGTGCATCTTGGCTGTTGTCTAGATAATAGCTGTTCTTACTGTTCATGTTTTCGGATTATGTCACCCCCCAGGAGAAGGCCGTCATGCAGATGCTTCCGGATTTAGAAGGGGACGGTGTGACCGACAAACCTCTCAAGATCCCAAAAGAGATGTGGCTGCTGGTGGACCATTTATATAAGAACGCCTGCCATCAGGTTTGTCAGCACTTACTGATGTCCCCTGCCATTACAGTCCCTCTGTTGGCTCTTTGAGATAACAGGACGGAGGAGAGCTCAGAATTTCTAACAAGATGAAAGGGTTTTTTTTTGTGTATTTTTCAATCCAATATAACAAATTGTGCCCAACAATACAACAGAGCAAAATGAAGCCAATAAGAAACTTTCTTTGACGGGGCTTAGATACATTTTAAGAGCTGTGTGTGTTCTCTCTTGCAGGAAGATCTCTTCCAAACCCCTGGCAGACAGGAAGAACTACAGCAGATTATCGACTGCTTAGACACCAGCATTCCAGATAACATCCGTATCCTTCACTGCCAGAGATCATCCAGTTATCTTTGCTAGGAATCCTTCCCCTTACACCCTACATACTACTGACGAGTATATAGAAAAGGATGCAAGTGCTACAAGTAGAGAATGCACCGATATATCGGCCCCCAAAACATTTCGGCCAAAAATTGCACTTTTGGCTACATGCCGAAAGTGCCATTTTTGTGCCGATACATGGGCACATCCCTGGTTTCTTTCCTCCCCGCTGGGCCCTGCTATGTGTCCCAGCTGGGAGAAAGTGTGACAACCGGGATTTGTAGTTCCACCACAACTGGAGGGCCGGAGGTTTGCTACCCCTGCCTTAAATGATGCCTCTTGATCCGATCATCTTTCCAGTACTTTTCAGCAGTCCTTCCAGCGCTGGTGCCGGTCCCTGATCCAATACTGACTGCTGTGTCTTCTGTGTCCCACGGTGTCTGTGCGGGTGCATGCTGCCTGCATCGACTTACCTTGTGTCTTTCCCTGTCTACTGGCCGTAGATCTGTACTGTGCATGCGCCCGCCCTATGATCCTTTGCAGCCGCCCAAGATATTTCAGATCCGCGAATGGAGACATAGGTAAGTTTCAACCCTTTTCGCAAGGGTTTAATTATCCTTTAACTGCATATAGGTCTATGTCATCTAATTTCTTAGATTCCTAGATTGTAAATTAGATTTTTTTTGCAGATTGCTCAGCTCTACACGCCTTTTATTCTGGCGATTTGACAATTAGGTGTTTAAAGGAGAACTATGGGGTTGAGGATTTTCCCCATAGTTCTCCTTAGGGTAACGGGAGGACACAAACTAGCGTCCTCCCGTCACCCTAGGCTCAGTATATAGGGAGCTGTAGCTCGCAGGATACTGAGACGCCGCAGTATACCGCAAACTACTGCTCGCGGTATACTGAGACGCTGAAGCGGATCCCGACAATTGTGGCGGGATCCGCCCAGCTGCGTGACTGACAGCTGGCTCTGCATATCTAGAGGCAGAGCCAGCCGTACCCGCCCCCTCCCCCGTCCGTTCCGCCAGTCAGCGCTGGCGGATCGGAGGGGGAAAATCCAGCCCCTCCCCTGTCACGGCAGAGAGCCGTGACAGGATCGAGAAGTGAGCGAATGCCGGTATGTGTTCGCTCACCTCCCGATCTACTGAGCCGACCTGTGACAGTCTTATTGTCACAGGTTGGCTAGAACTATGAGGTGAGTGAAAAGCACCCGCCTCATAGTTCTCCTTTTAAGTAGAAAAAGATTTGTCAGTTGAAACTTGGTTTCCATGTCTTTAGTTACTGGTGAATGTATATCATGCATATGTCTTCCCACAAGAACCATTCCAGTCTTTTATGCAGTAAAATATAAAACCCACAGAAAGAATATGACCGTTCTGTCGGCAGTGATGATGAGCACCTACAATCCATGGCATATATTTATTCTTGTTTGTACTGTATATGAAGTTTATGTTTTGTGATCTGTCGTCTCTTACATCACCTTAACACTGATCTCCAGCGGGTAGTAACCATTCTGTGGCAGAAGCTCTGTTAATATTCCTGGAAGCTGTACCAGAGCCAGTGATCTGTTACGAGCTCTATCAGCGATGTATTGACTGTTCCCATGACACTCGCCTCTGCCGCCAGGTACGTAAAAATGCTAAAAAATAAACTTTATTTCTTTGTCGTCAATTCCTCTTTATTCCATGTTCTCCTCTCTCCCCCTCACTTTTGCTTCCCTCTTCTATCCCTTCTTTCTCCACTTTCTCTTTCCTATCTTTCTTCTCCCTCTCCTCTCTCAGGTCTTCCTTCCTGTTTACTATTTCATTCCGACATATACTTTCATGGCTCTTTCATTCAGTGTGTTCTATCTATACACCTTGGTACGGTGCATACACAGGTAGTATACCACCGTCAGTACTACCGTCACACTCTTCATCTTGTTTTCTTCCTTATTGTCTCTGCGCATTTGGTGACCGATTTGAATTTTCTGCATCCAGGTGATATCTCAGCTACCACGATGCCACCGGAACGTTTTCCGATATTTAATGGCGTTTCTTCGAGAGCTGCTGAAGTACACTAGTGACAACAATTTGACGGCCAGCCTGATTGGTAAGAGTATACCGGTGCCTAGACTTGGTGCCAAAGTCAGATAAAAGGAGCTCTGGTGTGAGACCCCCGAACCTCATCTACATGTCAAATGTGCATAACGCAGGGGGGCAGAAGTAATTGTTTATTCTGATAATGTTGTTTCTGCAATCAAAGAAAACTGACTAGACTGCCTGCCCTAGAAACTGCCTGGCAATATGGAGTTCCTTCTGAATTGTTAAAATGAAACTCCAGATTTGATTAAACTTTTTTTTTTTTTGCAAGCAGTAGATTTATGCAAAAACATAAAAAAAAAAAAAAAACCTTTCAAAAAATTGAAAACTCACCTGTGTCTCCGCCGCGCGCGCCCGTCCGAACATCTGAAAATTCACGGGCGGCCGCAAAGGATCTTGGGGCGGGCGCATGCGCAGTTCAGATCTTCGGCCGGGAGACGAGGAGAGACACAAGGTAAGTCTATGGAGCAGCGTGCACCCGCACAGACACCGTGGGACAGGAAGTGCCAGTTAAGAGAGAGGAGTCAGCACTGGATCGGACACCTGCACCAGCACTGGAGGGGCTCCTGAAAACAACAGGAAAGAAGAAGAGGATCGCATTAAGAGGCATGATTTAAGGTAAGTCCTTACATTAGCATTGGGGTGGGCGGATTTAGCCTTTAATGTCACTTTAAATTAAAAGGGAGAAGGATGATAGCAGATCCTCGTGTTTTTTTCTTGTACAAATCTTTGAATAAGGGCCAAATATTGTTTGTTGTTATTATTTTTTTATTATTATTATAACAGCTATCTATATAGCGCCAACAATTTATATAGTGCACATTCACATCAATCGCCACCCTCAAGGAGCGTAGAGTCTGAGGTCCCTATCTCACATGCATACATACAAGGGCCGATTTAGACAGGAGCCAATTAACCTTCCAGCATGTCTTTGGAGTGTGGGAGGAAACCAGAGTACCCGGAGGAACCTCACGCAAGTACAGGGAGAACATGCAAACTCCTGGCAGATAGTGTCCTGACCGGGATTGCAACCGGGGATCCCAAGTGCTGCATGGCAGAAGTGCTCTTGCTACACCACTGTGCGCATCAGTTTGTGCAACACTTTACAATATAAGGAAGACATGACAGTTACAATACAATTCAAGACAAGATAGTTAGGAGAACCCTGAACATAGGAGCTTACAATCTATAATCGCACTTCTCTATTTGTCTGCAGGTCACCTATTGTCTGCCCAACTAGATTGAGAATGTCCCGATTTGAATATCAGTATTTGATATATACTTCTATATCTATATCTTCTATATCTATAGAAGTAGATGTAATTATGTCGGGATGTCCCTCTGTGGATCTTCTGCTATGAAAGCCTGTGCATATAAGATATAGAATGTGTGTACAGGTGAAACTCGAATAATTAGAATATCGTGCAAAAGTAATTGCAGTAAGTGCCGCAAAAGGGGCCCAAACCAAGTACTGAGTACATATGCATGCTTGTACTTTTCAGAGGTCCGATATTGTTCTATGTACAATCCTTGTTTTATTGATTGCATGTAATATTCTCATTTTCTGAGGTTGTGGATTTGGGGTTCTTGGGGTTTTCATGAGCTGTAAGCCATAATCATCACAATGATGACAAATCACGGCTTGAACTATCTTGCTTTGCATGTAATGAGTCTATCTCATATATTAGTTTCACCTTTTAAGTTGCATTAGTGAAATAAATGAACTTTGCACGATATTCTAATCGAGTTTCACCTGTATATGAGTCCCTTTGTGGTCTCTATAGAAGTAGATGTAGTTATGTCAGGATGTCCCTCTGGTCAGCTTCTGCTATGAAAGCCTGTGTATATAAGATATAGAATGTGTATCCGTCTCTGATTTTAACTTCAAGTATTTGCACACTAGTGAAGATTTTGAGTACCCCACACATATATATATAAGAATATTGCAAGCCCTGTAGGATTTCAATCTAGATGACTGTATAGTTATTTTTCCTCTTGAGCCTTACACTGACCGCATGCTGCATAGTGGGACCTTTATGTGGAAGTAGTGGTCTCTCTGCAGAGGTCCAGCATGTCCCTTGCTCGGGAGAACCCTGAGAAGGTCTGACTATCAGCAAAACTCTCCCTGCTCATTGGAGAGCTCTAGCTCTGAGTCCACATAGGGTGTGCTGCACCTCTGCAGAGAGACCAGGCAAGCAAGGGTCCTTCTCTGCGGCATGCTGGCAGAGGATAGGCTTTTGCACTCTGTGGCTGCTTTCTAGAGACTAAAAGACTTTGCACTGTTTTGATGCACCTGAAATGTATTTAGCTGTTTGGCTTTAATACAGATTTATGTTTCGTTCTGTTTAGCTACCGTGTTCACAAGCCTCCTGCTGCGGCCTCCACCTAACTTAGTGGGGAAACAGACTGCGAGCGAGCGCCAGAGGGGGATTGCGTTCATCCTGGGTTTCCTGCTGGCAAGTGACGAGGAGTGAGACGTTTTTTTCCAGGAGCCGTTACAGAGACCCTCTTATTAGAGGACATCATGACTGACTCCAGACCGTTCCCTGAAGGCCTGCCTGAGGATATGATATTCTCTTCAGGAACAGAAGGGGAAATCTTGACTGAAGCCATCGTTTTTTTTGTTTTGTACCGGTTAACCTATAGGAGTAGAAGAAGCCCTACGACCTCCCCAAACACAGGTGTAATGTTTGTTCCACGCGAACAGCTATGTCTGTGGTGCGTACAAGAACGCGGACGCACTATTGCATTACCCGGACATTTCGGTCCTCACCTTTTTGTCGTTTCAACGCTACACACTGGTGCCATGGTCTTTGTAAGTTCTGTGTGTGACTCTTTCCTATTTAAGTGCCCTTTTGCTCTTTCTTCTGCAGAATCATCTCTTGAATAGTTGCCGTGACTCCTCCCTGGTCCATATCGTTCAATTTATAATCATGTGAAGAACACATGAAGGTTATACATTATTATTCAGTGTCTGTGCTTGCTTTCTGCTTCTTAGGCCCGCTTACATGTTCACTTTCATCGTAGTCTTTGTACATGTGGCTTGATTCTTGCAGTTACAACACCGGATGCTTTCCCAACTCTGAGCCCATGTCAGCCGATACTATCAGCTACTTTCAGTGCAGTAACCTTATTCTATTGAGGAAGCGGCAAACCAAAGTATTGCATCGGTCCAATTACGTATCGGTTCTTCTCGTCATGTGTACATGAGCCCGGGTTTTCTCAGTTCCACATTGATACTTCTTTCTGGGTTTGTAGCAAAATACCAGTTTGCATTTTGTATTATACATTTGCTCTTCACTGTATAGAGGTAAAACGGTACAAAGTTTCTGGCAGGAGTCGAGTTTTTCTTTAGGCTGTGGCTCTTCTGATCACTTGCTGCTGTCATCTGTGTAAAAAAAACAAAAAACTCCATGTGGATTTGAAGAATCTGGCCACTCCAATTGATAAGAGATGCCTTATGGTCTGAGACTGTCCCTTTACCCAATCAGGGCAAATTGATAGGTTCTCTTTAAAAGCTCACACCAGGACTCGGTTATACGCACCTTCACGGCATTTTTCTATGCCGCTCTGTCCTTTGTTACAGCTGTCGCAAAAGGCCATGTGTTGACTCTGTGTTGTATTGTGTCAGAGCTTACACATGGGCAATGTCATCCCACCATCATTTGACAGTGTTCAGGCCACGTCTGGGAACTGCATCACATGGTCCTCTATACCTAAAAGCTCCAAGCATTCTGTAGGAAAGGAACAGAGAGGAAGCCCTAGGAGGGTGAGTACATTTGGGTAAGGGTGTGGGCTGAATGGAGTACAGGGCCTATTTAAACCATTTATTGAGTTCTGCTGTCTCTCTGGGATTGTGTTGGTCAGATCTCTGTGTTTCCAGGTCTGTACACCTGCTGTGCCCATTATGAGGGGTTCCCATCATTCCTGCCCTGAGTTCCCAGGTCTGGACACCTGCTGTGCCCATTATGAGAGGCACCCACCATCCTTGCACTCAGTTCCCACATCTGCACTCTTCTGTTGTGTCCATTATGGGGGTCTCCCACCATACCTATGCTTTGCTCCCGGGTCTGCACACCTGCTGTGCCCATTATGAGGGAGTTTCAGCATCCCTGCCCTGAGTTCCTGGGTCTGCACATCTGGGTCTGTTATTATTTGAGTCCTCATGACATTTAAATATTAGATGGTGACTTATCTCACCAGGCATTATCTGCTCTTTTGGTTGGCCAGACTCTTCATTCATTATTGGAGTTTAGATTTATCTTAGTGTACCGACAGAAATGAGCTCAACAAGTCTGCCTCTTTAGTGCTGGGTTGGGTTAGCATCTCATGTATCCTTGGGCCCTGAGCCAGCTGGCCTCCCCCTATCATTCATCCCCTGATAAGCTGTCATCCATCTTATGTCCCACCTTTTGTATAGTGTTGTACACTACAAGATCAGCTGAGCTTGCTGCTTTGCACCCTGCTTTGACTTCCCTTAGGTTCATGAGCTCCCTCTTTATGTCTGCACCCCTGCTGACCCTTTTCAGTCCATGAGAAGCTTAGTAATAGAGACCAGCAAGAATTTTCTAGTTTATTGTCCACTGTGGGACACAGGTTGATGGTAATAAACCTAGAGTTATACTGCTGCCTACAGGAGACATGGGCACATAAAAATAACTGGAGGCCAGCCCCTTCCACACCAATCCCCATGTTTGTCAGATCAACAGACGCACTTTCAGGTGATCCTGGGAACAAAAGGGGTGTAAATGATTTCATTATACACCATAAAAGTATACATTTCTATAAAGAGGGACCCTGGATAACCTGTCTGCATCCAAACTGACCCCAAAACACAGGGCTGGACAGATACAAGGAGCCAGCTAACCGATGTTCTTGAAAAGTAACAGAAGATGCCTAACTTTTGAGGGTTTTCTCTGGTTGTTGTCAATGGAGCTAGCTCCTAAAAAATCCCGCTTGCTCCTGGATTGGTGGGCAGACTGGCTCCTGGATTGGTGGGCTGACTGGCTCCTGCATTAGGCAGGCTGGCTCCCTGATTGGTAGGCAGACTGGCTCCTGGATTGGTGGGCAGACTGGCTCCTGGATTGGTGGGCAGACTAGCTCCTGGATTGGTGGGCTGACTGGCTCCTGCATTAGGCAGGCTGGCTCCCTGATTGGTAGGCAGACTGGCTCCTGGATTGGTGGGCAGACTGGCTCCTGGATTGGTGGGTAGACTGACTCCTGGATTGGTGTGTAGACTGGCTCCTGCATTGGGAAGACTGGATCGGTGGGTAGACTGGCTCCCGATTTCCATAGGCATTAGTCCACCCCTGCTGCAAGGTCAACCCGATGCAATTACATGGAACAAAAAAAGAAAATCCACAATCTGCCCAACATTGAGATAGCCGGATCTTTGTGCACCGTACCTCCTTGGCACGACCTGAGTCATGAAAAAGAACTCCCATGCTGCAGTAGCAGATGTCCTCATTCTGCCCATGGTTTTGTGTGATGTATCGGTGGGGGAGGCACTGACGCACAATTTGTAATGGTCTCCGGCACTGGACTGTACATTGGCTACAGAAAGTTTATAACAGCAGCGACTCTTCCTCTGGAAACATTGCTTTGCTTTGGAGTGATACTTTAAGGCCGGCATAAGAATATTTTGTGTTCCGGGGGGAAAAAATTGTCTTACGATGTGTTGAAAACACTACAAAATCGACCAATCTACACTCGAGGATATCATTTTTTTTTTTCTGGCCTTCCCTGAGAACATAAATATTGTGGTATAGAAACCCCATCTCAAGGTTGTGATTTTCAGATACATCTCCAGGGGGCACGGGGAGGATACTTGTATTCATTATGAAGAGGGAATCTCATGGACATACATTGTTAGTGGCTCCTCCATGACCATATTGGCCACCCACCTGCCTGGAGCATGACACTAGGCCGGGCTATCCTTCCCCGCTGGGGCCGGGCTGTCCTTCCCCGCTGTTGCCGGGCTGTCCTCTCCCGCTGGGGCCGGGCTGTCCTTCCCCGCTGTTGCCGGGCTGTCCTCTCCCGCTGGGGCCGGGCTGTCCTTCCCCGCTGTTGCCGGGCTGTCCTTCCCCGTCGGGCTGTCCTCTCCCGCTGGGGCCGGGCTGTCCTCTCCCGCTGGGGCCGGGCTGTCCTCTCCCGCTGGGGCCGGGCTGTCCTCTCCCGCTGGGGCCGGGCTGTCCTCTCCCGCTGGGGCCGGGCTGTCCTCCCCCACTGGGGCCGGACGCCTTCCTGTAAGCACCTAGTGCTGGAGGGTGGAAGATCATTAGGAGAAGTCTGAACAAGAAGGCCATCATAGATCGGAGTCACCAGTACACAGCAACGTCCATATTATTCCAGGAAGTCAAGATGCCTTTGCCTGGGACCTTTTCCTTTTGACACGTAACACCCACCACTTGGCTTAAACCCAGTAGTGGGTAGAACGCATTAGAGCAGGGGGTCCCAGATGGAGCTTCATGACATTTGTCAATGGAATAATAAAGTTTTCACCCACCACTGTGCTTAAGCCTGGTGATAGATGAAACGCGTTAGGCTTGGAGGTCCCAGATGAGGCTTCTTGAGGTTTCTCCTGGAAAAATAAAGTTTTTATACGTCCCAACTTTTCCTCTGTTGCATTGCCAGACTTAAGCCCAGTGGTGAGTGAAAACTTTATTATTCCAGGACAACCTTCAAGAAACCCCACCTGGGACCTCCTGGTTGACGCATTTTATCTATCACTGAGAGTAAGGAGAACTATGAGGTGAGTGGTTTTCACTCAACCTCATAGTTCTGGCCGTCGTGTGACAATGAAACTGTCACACGTCGGCTCAATAGATCGGGAAGTGAGCAAACACCATCGCTCGCTTACTTCTCAATCATGTCCCTGCAGAGAGCCGTGACTGTCACTCACGGCTCCCGGCAGGGATTCCCCTCCAGCGGAACAGACGGGGAGGGGGCGGGTACAGCTGGCTCTGCCTCTAGATATGCAGAGCCAGCTGTCACTCACGCAGCTGGGTGGATCTCAACAGTAATATCGGGATCCGCCCCGGCCGCGGCTGTCTCAGTATACCGCGAGCTGTAGCCTGCTATATACTGAGCTTTGGGTCACGGGAGGATGCTAGTATGTGTCCTCCCGTAACCCTTAGGAGAACTACGGGGAAAAACACTTTACCCCATATTTCTCCTTTAAGCACAGTTGGGTGAAATGCGTCAAAGGAGGAGGTGGGGCTTTTGAGGTTTCTCCTGGAATAATAATTGTTGAACGTCATGGCATGCTGACAACTTCTATCTGTGATGGTCTTGCTCCGCCTTTCCCCAACGTCCTAAATTCTGCTAAACTCCAGCACAAATGTCCTCCCTAACCTGGCTGTCCTTGGCACGCCCCTTTAATTTAATTGGATTTCATTAATGGAGGCGTCACATGTGGGCGTTGCCTAGGGTGGCAAAAGCATACTGCCTTGGAACGCCCACTCCTCCAGGCTGATATCCACCCATCAAGGCGTTTTGATATTTGCATAACTCCTCCCAAGAGCCGGCCCACTGCTTGCACGAGGGCTCTGAGAGGAGTACTGAGGCTTTTGATGTTTTCAGCAAGCTATGTACAGCTCCCTGTCGGCTCCTCCCACCAGCCATTATCTGCTTGCATTGCACAGAGCACAGATGACATCACTGGGTGTAAAATAAGAT